CGCTGAAGCACTGCGTCTACTTTGTCGAGTAATCTAGCTCGGAATCCTCCCAAAAGGCACATCACTGCCGTCGGGTTGGAGAAAATCGGCTAAATACGATTCCCAACTTCTTTCCACGTTTCTGGAGTTTTTTTTTCAAAACTTCTCCACGAATCTCTACAAAGCGACCGCCCCCTTTTTTCGTTTTCGTGTTATAGCGTCATGTCACTGAATCAGACATGATCTTCAAAACGCGGACGCTATCGCAGTTTGGGGGTGGAGGGAGGGGCAGGCCGCACCGCCTACAGAGTCTTTTTCGCTTCGGGTGCTAGGAGTATTAGGGAGGAGGGGGGAGGGCTGCCTCTGCGCCAGTCCATTTTCTACCAATTGCCGCTTTCCGATCAGCAATGAGAGCGGAACGGGCTCGCTGCATGAAATAAACGAAGGACGTAGGCGGTACTGAGGTTATCGATTTGAAGCAAAATTTTTGTGTCGAGTCAAAAAACCCCCCTGTTCGCGCCTTAGAGATGGTCTGGACTACACCCATTCATCCCATTGCCGTTGAGGAGATATTTTGCTAGATACAACCCCTCTCGAAATTTCCTCCTCTGGTGCCACACGTGTTCACCCCCACCCCTTCCCATCTCCTACCCATCGATTCAGTTCGGCGACGATGGTGGGGGAGGGGCATTGTTCATTGCTTCACTAAGTCCGGTTTACAAATGTCACTCTGGCAAACCTGTGAACACTTGTGAAGCTGGAGCAGCGTCGTCAAGCCATCATGGTAAAACCTGTCAATTCGAAAACGGCTGCCTAGATAGGTCGACACGTCGATGGGAAAAAGCAAAAGTGCAAAGTGCCCTCCCCCCCCCTCCCCTCCGTCCCCGAACTGCGCCACCGATTTCCTAAATTTTTCCGACGTCCTGCCACTTCCCGGGGCTTTTCCGAGAACGCTTACTCTTTTACCCAGCTTCCGCTTTTACCCAGAAAACACGCAACAGCCTGGGGGGGGGGGGGGGGGGTGGGGATGTAGCGAATATGAAACGGGAAAAACCCAGGAAAACTCAAAAGCCAGCCTTCTTAAGGTTTACGTTTTTCAGAAAAGCCAAAGGCTTTTTAAGGTTTTTCCCGTTTTTCAGAGAAGATTTTTCACAAAGGCAAATACGACCCCCTATCCCTATTCCAACTATGACCCCCTCGCTGGGTATCCCCAACATACGACGTGAACTGCTCTCAATCCCCAAACGGTGTCAACTCTTAGCATTTTCAGTCGACAAGCGACAAGCTGGTGACAATTCGTACGGCGATGAGCCATCTCTACCACCTACACTGGCGCCTTACATTTCTGTCGAAGCGACCACTCTCATGGCAGTTCCCGAGGAAGAGCCACAACCTGTCGTCAATGCGTTACCAGCTGCTTCAGCTACAGTCGTCGATTCAGGCTACCGGGCAAAACGACAAGCTGGTGACAATACATATGGTGACGAGCCTGTGGTACCAACTCAAATGACTTACAGCGAGAGCGAGTTGACTACTTTAGCGGCTGCTGTTCCTGAAGAGGAGGCAGCAGCTGTTCCAGTAGCTGCACCTGCAGAAATAGCAGCACCAGTTGTAGAATCTGGATATTAATTATGAACTCTCACTCTAGATCTTTCTCCACAACTGCTTTATCGATGATGTATAGAAACGTTTAATCTATTACAATCTTCACTGCCTATATCTACATTTCACATTTCTCATTGAGCAACGTAATAAGCCTAATAAAACTTTAACAAAACTACTAATCGCACACCTATCACAGTTAGAAAAATAAAATATTAAAGTAGAAAAATTGGATATAATTTGAGCCAATGAGATTGACACCTAGAGGTATACCTTAGATCACTACTTGTTACTAAGCAAAACTACTTGGCAATCAAACAAAAAGAAAAACCAACAAAAAAAGCTATTGGGCTCGGCTCCTAATGACGAGCGCTCTACTCATCGTTGGAGAGCAATTCCGTGCGTGGGCGGACTAGTTTTTACTTACTGGGACCGGCCTTTCCCCTATCACCTCACTCTCATTATTCAAAATGAATAGAGCTAGTACCGCAACAACCGTTTCACCAGGAAAGCTTCAGAAGTGGACAATGGGTGTGGCATGGGGCAGTGGGCGGGGCACAATTGCTTATCGCGACGATGGATGTTGTCGTTACGAAAGTTTTTTTAGAGAAACGCGAAAGGACGTATATCCCTCACGGTACAGCGATCCGCAATGCTTGTAAATGGAGTGTCAGTATCCCACTTCCCCCCCTCGTTTCAGCGAGGTGTTAGCACGGACCCCCCCCCCCCTAACCTAAAAAAGAACAGTTCGACCCACCCTCCCCCCTCATTCCCCAACACATACCTACCATTTTCCCAGTCAGCCATTTCTTAGATTTTCCCCAACTTCCTACCACTTTTTCGGAAATTTCCCGAAAATTTTCCTACTTTTCGCCGAAAATTTTGCGAAGGCGAGGAGGAGGGGGGTAATCTGGGAAAAATTACACGAAAAGTCAACAACCAGAAAAAAAATTGTTCCCCAAATTTCTCTAAGGCACATACGACCCCCCTCTCCCAACGACCAAATACGACCCCCTCCCCAGCGGAAAAGTACGACCTCCCTTATGTGTTTCACACAACGATGCTGTATCCTGTATATCCCTTATGCTTGCAGACGGGAAAACCTTGTCCATAGCAGTCTGAACACGGAATGTGTCTCTAAAGGGATCAGCTGATGCCCAGGCTCGTGGTTACTTCCCCACCTCAATCCAAGACATTTTTAGAAATATTTAGACTTTCGCGTAACTTGTAAACTTTGGTTTTCCTAACCCTGGAGACTTTGCGAATCTTGCCTGCCTTCTGACATAGCGTCATTACCCCGACAATTGGGATCTGGATATTGCCACCCTTACCGAGGCCAAACCCTTTGCCGGATATCTACACTTTCTCAGCTTTACTTCATCCTACAGAGCTTCCCTTCCGACTACTATGGATAACAAGCATAATGCACACATTCACTGTAACAATAAAAATAGAAATAATATAAAGTAAGACCTAAAGCAAGAATGATACTACGGTCTGCACATTGGTGGAATCTTACGCTCCATCACCGTTGAATTGCGATTTTATCAGATTGTAATAGTAACCCTGTTTATGGACTAGCTCATCATGCGTACCCTGCTCTCGTACCTGAAAAACCTTGTAAGTGCCATCGTAAAAAGCAGGAATGACATCTTAAAGATGACCATCACTGACCGTTCTATCTTTGATAACACATATCAGATCAGCATTTCTTATGGTGCTCAGTCTGTGAGCGATCACCAGGACGGTACGACCTCTCATGGCTCGGTCCAAGGCTTCGCGCACCTGGAAACAAGACCAATCAGAAATTGATCGAACATTCTTTGAAATTCTAAGAAAAACCCAGCACTAATATTCTCGGCGGCTGCAGAATGGATGAGGTAGGCCGCATGTTGGGACGTTATGGGGGGCAGCATTTTGCATTTATCGCTAGATTCCTTTTAGCCTGATTTCTTGTAAAGGCAGTGAGCCACGTGCGCTGGGGGCAGGCCGCTTGCTGCGAAAGTCATTGGTGGAAGGGCTGAGGGAGGGCGTTCAGCCACACCCCACCCCGCCTTTCCACCAATCACGTCGGCGGCAACCGCCCGCCTCAAGCCATCGTGCCCACTGTACTTTAAGTAACAAGTCTCCTTTTGGAAAAACTGTAAACTCTTGGCAGGAAACTCGGAGCTGTGACGTTGTGAGTCACTCGGGCACCAAGGACTTTCACAAGAAAAGCTGTCGAGTACGCTGAATACTTTCGGGTGCCTCACAAGCGAACAGCGCCCGCCAAAAGCTTAGTCTTTATTCTCACCCCCAGTTTCATGGTACTGTATTGGACCCATAGGACTAGTATGCGGCCAGCAAATCAGCCGCCTCGCGTTTTGTAGTGGCTTCTTCAACACCTAATCGCACTGCTTTCGCATGCCCAGATTCCTCAAAAACTCGAAGAAAAACTCACTAGGCGCTCGCTTTCCGTATCCAGAGCACTGGTAGCTTCATCAAGGACCAAAATCGGAGGGTCTTTAAGTAGAGCTCTAGCAATCGCTATTCTCTGCAATACGACAGTTATTGACTATACGCTCTGGTAACAAAAATTGAAAAAAAACAAAATTTGTCACCTGTGTTTCTGGCCACCAGAAAGCTGTGCGCCTCGCTCTCCAACGACAGTTTTGTATCCATCGGGGAAGTTGGAAATGAATTCGTGAGCATTTGCGAGCTTGGCCGCTTGCAGAACCTAAAAAGGTGCAGATCCTTTAACCTACTTATCGAAACCGGGCTTCAGAATAAGTCACAGAGCTAGGGGGCAGCAAAGCTAAAACGCAAAGGTGCTCTTTTTCTAGGGGAAAGGTAGATATCAATCAAATGGTCTGCGTTTTTCCTCCACTTCCAGACAAGTTAGAAACCGGCTAACAGAGTTCGATAGTAACGAAGGCTTGGACTGTAGATAATAAGAATTACCGAATGTCTCAGCTAGTAGCTCGCCCAGTTAACAACACACTAGTGCATGGAAGCATTCTGTGCAGCGAACAGCATGAAGACGTGCGGAATGGCGGTGTCACCACGACCCCTGACGGAAATCTCTCTTACAACCCTTTCCATTTCAGCTACTTGCCATATTCCTTGCAAACTTCTTCATCGATTGCGAAAGTTTTCTCAGTCTTACCAAAAACCAAGTGTCGAGCGCGTCGGGAAGTGCGAGAAAAGAAGGGAGGGGAGATATGAAACTCCACACGTAAAAACGGGAAGAATCAGCAACCCGGGAAGCAGCTCCCTGCCGGTGCGTCAGGCAATTCCTCTCAAAGCCAGATTACGGTCATCCTCTCCCTACCGGCAAAAGTCATGCTGATCGACTGGTAGGTTGGTGTTGAAACATTTTACCTCACTGCGCAAGAGTAGTTCGGCTGCGGACTGGGCGTGATCACGCCGGTATGAGTCTGGCGCGCGCCAAACCCCGTTTCTTCCACCAGCTGTAAAGCAGCAGCAAATTGAATGACTGTATAGTTATTTTGCTATCACATCGTTCGTATTCTCAGTTTTTATTCTACTTTTTTCACATGCGCGCTTCAACCTCAAAAAAGTATGAGAACGCTCTGATGGCGTGACGCACTCCTACTGAGCGACCAGACCCAGACCATACCGCAGCCCGACTAGAGTGTACATTTCCAAAGCTTATTGACTTATGAGAACCACCGCACACATTTCCGAATTAACAGAGAAAACTCACCTCAAAATCTGTCGCTGAAGGCCTGCCGTAGCGAATGTTTTCTTCAATACTAGTACCGAATAGCACAGGCTCTTGTGAAATCAATCCAATAACCTGCAACAAAAGAACTATCTAGAACCGTAGATAGATTTCATTAGTTGAAATGGTTCAAACGCAATCAATCACTAAAAGAAACTGGGTTATGGGTGAAACGGCGGGACCTTGGCTCTACCCAAGTGTTTAGTCAACAACACAGCATTCGTGGAATAGCTTCCGCATCGCGAATAGTAATAAGAAGCAGTTACAGAGGCCAGATAACTGTGAGCTCCTTTTGCCTGATGGTGTGAAAATTTCTTTTTTCATAATAAGCAAAAAAGAGAAAGAAGCACAGAGAAGGAAAGAGAAAGCACACTCAGGAATGATGAACAAACATCTCCCCAAAATCTTCAAATAGACGAAATAGCGGCAGTGATAACCTTAGGAGGGTTGGGAGACGGGCAAGAGAATCGTAATTCGCCGCTCCGCCGCGCGCGGCGATGGGCGCGGCGTTTCTTAACTCGTGTTAACCTGTCGATTGGAGCACCGGACTTCATGTAGACCCCGTCATCGTAGACATTCATGACTATTTTCGGTTCTGAATTGCCTGTTGTCGCCATCTACTACCTGGAACCATCGTCATTTGCGGCGCGACGTCGCGCGCGACGCACCAAGGCAGCGGATTACGATCCTCTTGTCGCATACCCAGGAAGAAAGCACACCCATAAGAGCTTTTCAGCAGGCCAGATCCTATGACTGTATACATGTGAAGACTGCACAGGCTTGTGAACATGATGTAAGCCTTGTTGCCATCAAATACTCCCCTCCTGTCAAAAACTGTCAAACATGCCAAAGTGACTGGACAAGATTTGAAAAAAAAATGGAGAATGGCGATTCGATGACGCTAGTACCATGTCGCCAAGCATGACAAGTTTACAAACTACTTGACAGGAATTCATGGACCTTGCAGGTAGACACGATTGTGAAGAGACAAAATTGAAAACAGAGAAAAAGACAATCATGAAGAAATTCACAGGCCCTCCAAGATTATCATAGCCAAAATATCTGCCTTTTCCCCTCCACCTTATTCCACATTTATTATTTCGGCACTATTGAACTATTCCTACCCCAGAACACTCAAAATTTTTTTCGCTGAAACGTTGCCTATAGATGTAATTCGATGCGCTGATCACGAATATAACATCCGTTTCGAGCGCTGGCGTCATTTGGCGCCATTATGCGCCAATTTGGCGCCCACCACTTTTTTCAATTGAGGTCCTGATTACGAATATCACACTGGTTTCAAGCGCTGGCGCCATTTGGCGCCATTATGCGCCAATATGGCGCCAAATTGGCGCGTAATGGCGCCAGCGCCAAAAATGAATGTTGGATTCGTAATCAGGACCTCAATTAACCCCCATATGCAAGTTTTCATCAACTTTGGTGAAAAAAGTGGTGGGCGCCAAATTGGCGCATAATGGCGCCAAATGACGCCAACGGATGTTATATTCGTGATCAGCGCATCGAATTACATCTATAGGCAACGTTTCAGCGAAAAAAATTTTTTGAGTGTTCTGGGGTAGGAATAGTTCAATAGTGCCATTATTTCTCATGGCGATACCCACCTGTCCTCTCAACCATTCCAGATTAAGTGTTCTGAGATCCTGATTGTCCAGAAGTATCCGCCCACCATGCGGTTCGGTTCATAGAATCGCTCCAATAACGAAGTGATGGTGCTCTTACCTTGACAGTATAGCTTTTATTTGAAACAGTACAAATCTTTCAGTTAAGAAAACATGGAACGCGGATTTTCCGTCCTTACCTTCTCCGCTTGGTCCGCACAATGCAACTACTTGACCCGCTGGTATTGTCAGGTTCAAACATTCGAAGACATTATGCTCTGGCCTGGTCCGGATATGCAAATGCTACATTCTCGAAGCGCACCTCCCCACAAGCGAGTGATATGGAATACAAACACCGTCGTCATTTCGTATGGTCGGATGCAGGTTAACGAACTGAAATCTTGTGGATAGACAAGGGATGGAGCGCTTAACACGAAGGGTTCATTTCGCGCAGTCACCTCGAAGGCTCGCGCTCCAGCTGTCCATCCTTTGAGTGCAGTACCGAACACTAGCGAAAGCTGACTTAGTGACCTCTGAATCGTTTGAGCGGTGACGAGGAATGCCATCAGTTCTCCAGGGGTCATTTTTCCTGAAGAAGAAAACCATGAAGATCGATCCAGTTCAACACGAGTTCAAGCAAACGATACCTTCTTTTATAAGAGATGAACCACCGTATAGGACGGATAAGACTATCCCGTTCAAGAAAAAGTTCGTAGCTCCTGAACAATGAATTTGAGCTCAGAAAAGTCCGAATACACCTGATTACCTTGAAACAATCCTATGCCCATTCCTAAAAGCTCTTGCATCGAACAAGCTTTACGAACTTCCCTTTCGAACAATCTGAAGCATAATAATGTTGCAAAAACGAGTCCAAAAAGGGTTGAGCAGACTGACCGCGATTCCTGCTCCTCCATGGCAAAGGCTCGAACTGTTCGGATGTTTCCAAATGCTTCATCGGCGACAGATGCAGCTACGGCAGACTGAGCTTGAGCTCTGAAACCGAGTTTGAAGATGTGCAAAAAGGAAAAGGTACAGCGCTGGTTGGCTAGAGCTCATTTGAGATGCGCCACGCACTCCACTTTCATTCAAACCGCTATTGCTTCTGGATGCAGTGCGGTACGAATAGCACGGGTCGTTTGACGAGAAGGCCAGCGATTTTATCCCCACAGTAGAGCCCAGTTCTGATTTCCTCGGAGGAATAGAAGTCTTTGCCAGCCAAGGAGGTAGCCCATCCAGAATCTGATGAGCGGTCCACACGTGTGAGGAGGCGCTTCTACACACGTTACACCCATCCAAAAGATTACCAGTGGGAAAATTCCATTTTGCCCGTCATGGAATCTTGTATATGCACTGATTCAGACGAGTTTTTGCTGTTCCAGTCCATAAAATGATACATATGGAGAATCTGCCGCGCACAGGTCGCATGATGCGCCGCGCGCAGCGACAATCACGATTTTCCTGCCAGCCTCCCGTCAGAAACATGAAAATAGTGATCCTCCGAGTGGGTAGGCAACTAGCCTTATGGTCGTAGTGTTGAAACCCCTTGGGCCCCCACCTGGAGGGGCAGATTTGTAATGAAAAACGCATTATTATCAAGTGAAGAAAAATTTCATGAAACATCAGAAAGACAGAACTGAACCTTCTACTGAGACTCCTCAACAATGTCCCAAGGGGTTTCAACACTACGACCATAAGGCTAGT